CTTCTGTTCCCCCCCCAGCTCCTCAGACAACCCCCGGCCCCCCGAGAGGGACAGGCTGGCCAGGGGCAGAGCCAGCATCACAGTGCGGGACATTCTCACTGCTTCCCAGCGGCAGCCAGTACCCCAACGTGGCTACCAGTGCGTGTCGTGCTGCCGCATCTTCCCCACACTGTGGTCGGTCAAGACCCACATCCAGCACAGCTCCCAGGAGGGCTACAGCTGCAAGGTGTACTACCGCAGGCTCAAGGCCCTGTGGGAGAAGGAGCACAATGAGCAAGAGGCTGCAGCCCCCAGGGTGCCCGTGTAGCCCCGCCAGCCAGGCAGCCGCCACGGGAGGGCACTGCTCCATCGCTCCTGCCAGCGGCAGAATAAATTGTTTTAGGAGCAGCTGGCCCCGTATGCCTGCTGCTCTTGCCTACACAACACTTCCGCCATCCTTTAAGAGAGGCTCTTCCTGACTTTTCTTTCCCCAGCAGCCAAAAATCTCCTGAGCCCCTGAAAGCACTGCTTAGCATCTCTGCAGTGTGGGGTGCTCTGCAGATGCCGGGAACCCCCCAGCACCCTTGAGCTGTCAGGTCAGCCCTCAGACAAGCCTGCGCTGTGCAGTGGCTGAATGGGAAGGCTGAAACCCCTCTAGCCCCAGCAACATACAGGGCACCTCGCTCTCATGGGCAGCCCGCGGCTGGCACCGCAAGCAAGGATCCCACAGAGGAGGATGTTTAGGTTGGAGGGGGTCTGTGCAAGGCCAAGGGATGCCACTGTTGGTGCTGGCTCCCAGCGTGGAGGGGGAGAGAAGTACAGAAAGAGAGAGAGTCAGCAAGAAGGAAGAGACAACAGAAAGCCTTGAGAAATAGAAAGATTTATTTAGCAAAAGCCAGTTGACTAATGACAACACCCAAGGGTTAAGTGCACTTACATTGACAGATTCGTTTCCCAGATAGAGTCAACAGTTAGTAACACGACAGTTGTAGGAAAAGAAAGGACAAAAAATATAGCTATAAATCCCCAGTCAAGGTCCATAACAAAAGTGAGAGGCTAGAGAGGCATCTTGGAGGCAGCGCTGAGTTAGGAGGAGGATCATTTACACATGTACACCTGCGGTGCAGCAGGACACTGGTGGGTCCCACGCGGCTCTGGCAGCCCCTCAGCCCATGGGGCACCCACCACCATCCCCTCTGGGTAGAGTGCCAGGCAGGAGCCCAAGCCCGCAGCTGGTCCCGACAGCTCCTCGTGGGGCACCGCCTGGACTGTGCATGTGCAGCAGGGACGGGCAGGAGGGGTGGCCTGGGGAGATGGCTCAGCCCTGCCTGCTTTCTGAGGCAGCCCAGCCTGGAAGAGACCTCCTGCCTGCTGCTGCTCCTCTCAGGCTCTCCCTCCGTCTGCCCTGCATGTATGGCTGAGCTCCTGCCATCACCTCTCCAGCACAATCTGTCTGCCCACATGGAAATCCTTCTCCGAGCTCACCCACGCATCCCTACCCTGCCTGCGCCATGTCCTGTGCGTGCTGCCACCCCCACCACTCCCTCCTGGCGGGACCAGCCTCCCACCCCATGTTTTCACCTCCAACCGCTGCGAGCTGGCAGTGGGATGTTGGGGTCCCCAGCAGAGGTGCTGGCACACAGCTGTGCCCACAGCGGTGCAGGACAGGGCATATGGAAGTATTGGTGGCCAGAGGACAGGTGCACCCAGGTCCCAACCAGCACCCGCTCCCACTCTGCCCCCTCTGTGGCTGGTGCAGGGGCTCCCCTGGACACCAGGCCACTGTGAGGGACACTGAAACATGGCCTTCCTTCCTACTAGGACTCTCTAGCTCCTCACAGCATCCAGCCTCCTCCTGCGGTGGAGGGTGCATAGCACAGCTTGTACCGACCCCAGGGGTCTCACCCACACTTCACTCCTCAGCAGCCCTCAGTCCCAAGGGGACCAGGGCAGAAAGAAGCGATGGACCTTCCTCAGCAGCCGGGCTAAGCCCTGGAGGAGAGCAAGGGCTTGTGCCTGGGAGATGCTCAGATAGGGGTTAGGTACAGGCAGATCTAGCAGAGACAGAGCTGGTGAAGGCAAGAGCAGAGGGAAGCAACAAAGCGAAGCAAAAGCAGGATACGAGGGTGAATGGGGAGGAAGACAACGGTGCCAATCCCCACCTCCTCAAGTGTTTCTACAAGGAGCAGGGGGGACATCAGGACACTGGCTCAACCCCTTCAGCCATAGCCTCTTAGAGGCTGCAGCAACAGGCAGCCAATAAACGTGCTTGCAGAAAAGAGACAAGCTCTGGATCTCTTGGAGGCTCCCACAGATACCTCAGCCATAGGCATCTCAGGGTCTGGTGGGGGATCCTGAGATCTTGGATTCACTTTTCTGGAGGGTGCAAACCAGAGACATGAAGGAGCCCACCTGCAGACACCAGCAGTTCGCTCCCCATCGAGGGGCAGCAAGCGTGCCCATCCCTGCACATGCCCAATGCCGGCACTGCATCTCCCAGCCCTGGTCCAGGGGCAAGCGACTCCTTGGAAATGGGAGGGTTTGTCTATAAAGTGAAGCAGGGAGTTTGTGGTGATGGCGGGTGCAGGGAAGTGCTTGAAAATATGACTTGAGAGCACCAGAAAGGCTTTGAAACCTGTCAGCCATGCCGAGGAGCCCAAGGACCCGGCAACGAGGGAAGGACACCCCACAGCCCCGTGCTGCATGCCCTAACTCCCTGCTCCTCGCCGAGCCGTGCCTTCCTCTCCGCTCCACAGCCTGGGAGAGAAGCAGGCAGTGCCTGCACACCCTCCACCTGCCTCAGGCAGGGACAAACCATGCCCTGGAAGTGCCACAAACACCATCACTCTGCCAGGAGCTGCCTGCACCCGGCCACCCTGCGTGACCTTGTCTCACACCTTCAGCTCCTTCCCAGGCTCGTCCCCCTGTCCTTCACTGCCTCACCTCTCACTCACGCACCCATGCCGACGGTACACTGTCACCAACCCTAACCACCTCTTTAGCACGGCCCTGGCCTCATCTCCCACCCTCTCCACGACACAGAGAGCCAGACTCCCCGCCAGTGGCTCTGTCCCTGCTCACTGCCCTGCGCTGGCTCCTCAGTCGCTCTTGTCCCCACTCACTGCCCTGTGCCTGCTTTCTCATTCCCCCAGCAAAAACTTTCATCTGCTTTACTGCTCCCCCCCTGCAGCAGCACCAGCAGCAGTGGCCAATCTGGCAGGGAGTCCCTTGCCTCTGCCTGACCTCAGAATGCAGCTTGCAGGGGGATGGGGACCAGGGGGTAGCACAAGCAGCTGTCAACTCGCCATCCGATGCGAAGCAGGGATGCTCCAGCTCAGCACACAAGCCCGTGCACGCTGGAGCACAGCATGCCCAGCGCACCCCCTCGGCACGGCTCCATCCTCACCTCCGTACAACTCCCAGACGTGTGCTGGAAGCCTTGCGCTCCCCTCCTCCCCCCCCTCTCTCTCTCTGGGCTGTCCCATCCCTGCTAGGGCCAGGGGCTATGGCCAGGGCCTGCCCCAGCTCCGGCAGGACCCGGCTGCTCTGCAACACCTCCCGGCGACCCCGACACCGCGATCTCATCCTCCAGGCTGTCGCCCAGGTCCTGCCTGGGCTGGACGTGGAGCAGGAGCGGTGGTTCCTCCTGGGACCAGGAGTTACGCTCCTCACTCTCGTCCGTGTTGGACTCGTACTCAGAGGCGATGCCCGACTCGCGGAACTTGATGAGCTCCAGGCTGCCCAGTGCCGGCTCTGGGGCGGGCGGCCCCGAGTCCGGCAGAAAGCGGTAGCATTCCAGCTTCACCAGACAGTCGTTCCTACCTATGGGGCTGCCCAGGGTGCTGGGGAAGCCCGAGCCGGGGCCCAGTGGCGGCGGGGGGGGGTCCTCAGGCTGCGGGGGGGGCGGGGCGCGG